GCTCGTCTCCCTCATCAGAGGTCGAGTTACCGGGATTCTACTGTACATGTATTACACGTCTTTATTGAACAAGCCGCAAAAAGCTGTACGCAAGATAAGGTTCGTTTCCGTGCATTGGTTTAACGTGTATTCAACTACGTGGTGACAGGATCAACGCCTGGAGGATTAAACTGGAACTGCAACTGCAACTGTTACTAAATTTTACATACATACATACATAGCTTTTAAGGCAAAAATCGCTCAAATCAATGGTCTGCCTAATTTTTCTCTGTTCTAATAAATTAGTAATTAATTCAGTATTTTAACCAAAGCAGTGCTTAAATTTGGACATATCTATACCGGAATATTCAACATTTCCGTTCCTGAATTTCTTTTAAGGGAGAATTTTATTTGTCAGGACTGGTCCCTTGAAGAAATGTGAACGTCCCATCCTGCACCGTCCTTTTATTTAAACAGTTTTTTAATGTCGTTCAAATGTCCGCAAATATTTATTAAACGCCCTAGTTTAACAGTATGTAAAACGTGATCCGGCACCTTCTTATGAATCTTTCTCAATCTACCGACCGCCGGACCCACTTCTGTACGAGTGAACGGGTTAAAAACAACAAGAACTTTTATAAGTTACTTTTGTCCTTGGTCTAATTGCCTCAGTGTTGTCGTCAGCGACGTAGCTGCTAAAAATCGCGGGAACATATTTCATGCAATGGAGAAATCCGTGCACTACATTAGTAAAGTAAAAAAACGTACGATTTCACACCGCTTGAATGGAATGGTTTTGAATGCATATACGTTTCAGAAAGAGCCAAAAGGCATTAACGAAACGCACTTATTCGCGCGAAACTTAAGATTTTAACGCGGTGAAGTCGGTGCTGGAGAGATGGACTGGTGGGATTAGCGGGCGTGTGTTATTTTTTGGCGTAGGAGCAAGTCACATTAGGATTTTCGCTGCTCTCTTCGCCGCCGAATCAAGAATCCCGCCAGTTACGCAGGCTGGACGCGTCGCGTTCTGATCAACTTGGGCATGAAGTTAAAACTTAACAATTAGACCGATTATTTACGCTGTCTGAGAGAATTTACAACTGAAATGTTGTCTTTTACACTCGTATGGTAAGTGAAAAATTTCAATTAATCAATTTGACTCAAAAATTTCCATCACGCGCGTCATACCAGTTTCGTAAAGTAAAGGAAGTACACAGGGAATTTAGCTAGGCCATTGAAGAGAGCTGTTATTTTCTCATTATTTTTGAATATTTAAAAGTTGTTTTGAACACGCATATCGACAAAAGGACTTCTTGATTTTGACATTTTGCGTCCTCAGTATGATTCGAAAGTAGCCAGTGGGGAAGATATTATTATTATTATTATTATTGAAAGTAATTTATATTGTATTTATGTGTAGATCAGTTAGAAATTTCTTTGTGTGTCCATGACAGCTTAGCATAAAAATAAGAGTTTATGCAAATCTTTAGTTTCAAATGATAGTTTTCCACCAAAGTTCAAAGCGTCCCCAACGTATTTATTTATTTATTTTAGTGTGCTTAATTTTCCCCACACGAAACTTTTGAATTTTTCATTTTAAACAAACAAGTTCATCGATTAATAGTAAAAGCGGACTGTTGCCGAAATTTGTTTTTAGTTTTTTGAGTCAAATGAGCACGTTAGTAGGTACTAAAGCCACGTCATAGCAGAGGGTGTCTTTAAAGTCACCGTCCTCCGTTTTCAGTAATTTTCAATTGCTTATATTGCAATTACCGCTGCGACGATCATATCTTCTTTAAAAGTGCCGTAATTTTTTTCGGGTTAATTTGCAATTGCTTAAATTACAATTACCATTGTGACGATCATATCCTCATTTTAAAAAAGAAAGTTTTAGCGGTACATATGTAGCCTCCAACGTCAATCTCGGTGATTCACTTTACCATGCATTTACAGTAAAATAACGATATAGATAGAAGAATCTGTAGCTCAGTTTGCCCAGTGTATTGTCAGGGCGTTTTCTTTGGAGTGCGCATTATTACGTTCTGTTAGCATAACGCCATGTTGAATTATAAAAAATAGACGGGAGTTGGCCCCTACTCACCCCACCATCTGTTTTCGCCCTAAACGATCTATTCCAAGGGATGCTGCTCTCCCCAATTGCAATCTTTCTCAGCAACAAAATCATATTAAAGATGGCAGCCACGGTATTCAGCGAACATAGGCAACATAAACATAACAAACAGCTTTCGCCCGCTTCCAAAAATACGGCTGCATTGCAGGCTATAAAAATTAACAAGTGAATCTCCCGAGTAAAGGCCCGCTTCTTTTTGTTTTCGCGCTGTGGCGTGGACGAATTGACTGGATCGCCAGGCCGCTTGTTTGTAGGCCTGCTTTTAGTAGCTCAGAATAGTTTAAAAAATGTCAGTGGAATCCTAAAAATGGTAGTCTGGCGAACCTGCTCTGTCCTATCGGTGTGCATTTGGAGAGGGTCAAGGGAGACGAACTTTACATGGAATGATCTTTTCTGTAGATCGCGATTGCCCACCGTAGATAGCCTTTCTCCGCCGATGTTTACAATGAGTTTCTATATAAATCAGTGTCACCTGAAACTACCTTAACTCATGGGCATCCAACGACTGTTTTCTGTAAAATATCTGTTCTTAGCCAAGCTTGAATTTTCTATGCTTGAATGTGCCTAAAAATTTCTTGCGTTCCATTCAGGTACAATTTTTGAAGCTATTAATATATCTAAAAAATTCCCTACGATTTTCTCAAGTTTAACTTTTCATATTTTACTCTTCATGTTAGCTTATAAATTTTCGTAAAAAAAGGAAACCTAAAATTGGGTTCAAAAATATGATGGAGTGAGGAATCAGAAAAATTGTCAATTTCGTAAAATGTTCAATTGCATCTTAACTTTTTGGGAAAATAACACTGAATCCCTTATAATTTCGAAAAGCCTCAAGCTCCCCTAGGATGACAGAACAGAAACAAATTTTACAGCGCCGCTTAGAATGCATTTCTAAATATCTAAAAGTACACTGAAATAGCCTAAAAAGACTTTTCAATGCATTTAGGAAGAAACCGTCGTTGGGTGCCCCTGTTAACCGTGTATGGCAATGGGGTTCGGTTTTCACCAAGATAGATTACACTCTTTTTTTTCTATAAGAATATAGTTTATAAGAATATCGAGCTGAAATTTGCGAAATCTTAAAAATACTTTAAGAATAAACTCCAGGCTGAGATTTTGAAAAGGATATAATTTCCTGTGGTGAAAATTTGTAAATACAATACAAATATACCTTTTCAATTTATTCCTTTCTTTAAACGGCAAAACTAGCTAACTATATTTAACAAAACTATAATTGATACCTTAATATATATTCTAATTCGGAAATGTCATAAGCTATTATTAAGAATAATACAAGAATATTTACAGCCTAAAATTGGCGGAAAAGTAAGAATATTCAGCCTGGCCCTAGAAAACAACATTCTTATATAAAAAAAAGAGTGTAATGGGAAAGATAGGGAATCTTGGGGCGTTGGTCGGGATATACGAATTTCACTTATAAATAAGTTATTTTTGGAGGTTGTGATTAAACAGAAACCTTATTCTTGAGACGACAGCACATTTTAAAAGATTGATTGAAACTTCACAAAGTCCTCATGATGACTGTTGAATTCTCTCGTGAAACCCTGAAAAACGTTTGTGGAAGTCTCCGGAAACAAACCTCCCTACTAATTTCAAGCATTTAATTGGTCCCCATGGGCCATGATGCTAGGCGGTTACCTCTCTATCCGATTATTCTCTGACTCTTGGTTTCACTACACATTCTCGTTAAAAGTACAGACTGCATATCTGAATTTTAAGTTCCTAGGGCAGTGTTTTTAGCCTGCATATAGACGTCTGCTATTTCCTTAATTGCTCTACATGCGTCCAACAAGGGAAATAGGAGGCTATTAAAGGGGGCTAAGTTTTTTTAAACTTAATGTACAGACTATCACTCCCGCTTTAAGAAATAAAACTGACTCTATCGAACTTCTGCCCTTAATTTGGAGGGCCGTCTTACAACAAGCAAGTTTTAAAAGCGCAAAATTCGAGCCGAAAAGAGGGACAAACAGCCCCGTCGATCTATTGAGACTTTTTTGTGATAATAATTTCATCACAGATTTCGAGTGCAGTTGTCGTAGGGAGCCAACTCCGCGTTATGAACTCGCCATGTAGGTGATCGCTATGTCGCAAGCAGGAACGTTTACACTTACAATCATACGTTTTATTTTTATATTTTTGGAAAAGTTATCTAATCTCTCCAAGCACAAATCTCTGAAATATTTTTGGACACCGAAAGCAGTATGCAAACTGAACATGAGAATATCATGAGGAAAATTTATAAAACAAGCACATAGACCCCTTGAGTTTCCCTGAAATTTCCACCCTTGACGTCATCAGGCATTGTCCTGCTACGAAACAAAACAGACCAACAAGAGATGTTTTTTAACCCATTTTATAATTTCAGCATTTTAGCACTGGTAACAAATTCTGGTAACAGCAGTTTATTGATGACAAAATTAGGCTAGTTCACCACAAGTGAGTTCGTCTGCATGGCACAACCTTTGTAAACCTTAAACTGTTCACTGACTAAATGACCCAAGAAAAAAAAAGACAAAAATTTTAGCGAAATTCGGCTCTTAAAAAAGTTCAGTACTGCTGAAAGTTTTACCTAAGCGCATGATTTGGCACTATGCATAAGTTTCATTAACTCGCGGCGTGTACTAAAACTTAGCTTTGGAATTTATTGTTTCTAAGTAGGATTTGCATATGTTACGGTGGCTTTCAGAGGGTACATGAGTACGTTGAATATTGAAGTTGGTTTATTTGGCATTGCAATTGTTCGTCTCTTGAGTAATATCAGAACTTGCTTGCTGAGAACTACCCTAACTTGTCATCATCTACATAGAGCAAAGCGTTCGTGATCAGAATTTTTAAACCCAACACCTGCTGATCACATAATGATTAGAACTTAATGTTCCTCAAAAGTGATGGGATAAGTGACCAAACGCTTGTTATCCCAGGCGTACAGCACTCTTTCTCTGGGGTTGTAGTCCACCATGGAGTTATAGCCGAACTGATTGGTGAACTGGATGTTGGGGTTCCATTGTTTTCCAGTCTTGGTGTCGTAAGCAAAGTTGATGGTTGTGGACCTTGAGCTATAGTGGTCGATACAATAAACCACGCCACAGGCCATGAACGCATTTCCCATTGAACTCATCCTCTCTGAAATAAAAATTAAAAAAAAGAAAATGAAGAGTGAACATAATAAAACTGTATGCCCACTGGTAGCGTACATTCACTCGGATGATACTGACTTGCGAAATAGAATAACATTCCGCTTTAAAATGGATGGTATTGGCACCAACTGGCAGGTTACAGGAAAAGGTTTGGAAAATTTTCAATGCATCTAACAAAGCTACTGAGCTTCTTTTCCGTTACTGAATTTTTCATGATGCTTTTACTAAGAGCGCTACTCTTAGGGGGTAGTACCTGTTCCTAAGCTCCACGAGAGGACTGTTTGACCTTTGTACACATCCATTTTATATGCGATCAATCGGTAGCTGTTCCCATTGTAGCCCCATAATACCCATAATCCTTGTTCGTCAACTGCTAGGTCAACTCCACTGTATCCACCCCACTGGTAATTATTCTTCCTCGGTGATCCCCCCAAACCTATCTGTTTTACTTCACGTTCCGTTTGCAGATTGTATACGACGATATTGTTCGTACCCGCTCTGCCATAATAACAACACAATAAAGTCAGCATTTGTTAGTATTAGCGAGGGTGCTTGGAAAGTACGTGGCAAGCTGTTGTCAACTATATAGCCGACTGAAGAAAATGTATTTCCCCTTAGCTTTGATGAAGACCTCTATGTATACTGATATTAAATCAGTGCAAAAGTGAACTCGTATACATGTGTAGTATTCTACTGACGTGGCTAGCAGCTATGCAAATCTATTGGAACAAATGAAATCGTTAAATTTCAAGAGAGTTCAACTCCCACTGGATTGGTTTGGGACATCAACATGGCCACGGTCTGATTGTTTTGGGATACCAATATGGCGGACGTGACGTCATGTGAAGAGTCTATATTATTACCGAAAACTGTGATAAAACGAGACCTAGGGAAAGAAAAACTGCTTCGGGCTTAAAGCGACAGTATTTGAACTTTTGCCGATTTTCGATCTCTTAGCGATTATTTCTATCAAAAAATAATAATATATGAAACCTTGGTTCTCCAGCTGGCCATATTCAACCGGCGCAAATTTACATCTTGACAAAATCTGGTTGGATTAATACAAATAAGAACAAGTTGATGAGTACTATGTTACCTGTTGTAGTAAAGGTTTGGTCCATACACCACCCCTCCTGTTCCGTCCCACGTATAAGGCAGTTTGTACTTCTTACGAGGGATGCCTGCTTTGAACGTGTCCATGTTTGCAAACTCTTCAAGCTCGTTTCTCCCGGAGTAATACTCCATAACGAATATGGTCTCGGCACCCATGATACCTAGCGGGTCTTTCATCCACGCTCCTTGAGTATAGTACCTAGTGTTGTGAGTCACAGGTTTACCAATAGACTTGATGTGAGTGCAGCTATCTGCAAGAAAGTAGAGAAAGTGAATCTGATTGTAAGATATTCTCTTATATGCCCAATTAAAACGTCCGTCAAATTCTGTAAGTGTTCCATTGGAGGTGAAGTGGCCAAGTTACGAGCGTCAAACTCCGGACCATGCACTAGCTCTCTTTTTGTCTCGTTTGTCTCAATGCCAGTTCCTTGGCAACGTTTTGAAATCGCCTAGTGGTCTAAACTGAACTTCTTATTTTTTTTTATTGGGGTGCCTGTAAACAAGTTCGAAAAGTCAAGGAAGCTTTCATTCGAAAAAAGACAATGATATCTTATCTCATTGACTTTGTTTTGCGTGTTTAATAATGAACAAGCGATAGCGTGCTATAGAAGTGATGTCTAAAACGTGTTTGTGCGCCCGCGAAAAAAGGAAATGGTGTGGAAGTAACAAACCTCTCTGAAGAATATAAACACTCTCCTTGGCTTTGTCCAGGTCATGCTGCTCATTAATGATCATCTTCAGCAACTGAAAATGTGAAAAGGAAGGATGGAAGACAACTACTTTGTTTCATTTAGAATTAACAATAGCAGCCAAAAGCCCACAATATCAAAAACCTCATGCTTAGTAAAAAGCAGATTTTAAAAAGTGAAACTGCCTACGTGGCTTTGATGGCTGTAACATAAAAAATCGACGTGAAATCTTATTACCGCGCTTCCTGATGAGCCCTATAAAAAAGTCAGAGTAAACTCCGGCAAGTGATAAATTGGACTGGAAAGTAGAGAGAAGGAAGATGCAGATGAGATGGCGACAAAAAAACAGTTAATTAAACAAAGTTGAATTGAGACAGTCAGCACATTAGTGTGTAGTGCAATGCAAATTTTACTATTTCATCAGAGACAGAGATATGATTATCCATTTTTTTATGGTAAACCGAGACTGATGTGTTCGTTGCCGCCAATCATTTGCAAAATCAAATTGCTAAAGTGTTGACTAGTGTTAGTTTTAGTGTTTCAAGAGCTTACGAGATGGCATGTATCCGAGTTAAGTTACAAGAACCAGAATTCGAGTTATTGGGATAAATTTCAGTGAATTTTTTATCAAAAGGGAGAGGAAATTTTGTTCTAGCTAGCAAGGAATTGGAGTTATCCGAGTTCGAGTTCACCGAGTAAAAATGCTCAAAAGTGGGGTGAAATCCAAGGGAAATAGGACTTGATTCGAGTTAGCGGGGAGGTCGACTTATCCGAGTTCCATTTATCGAGGTTCTAGTGTACTTACATGTTTTTTTGCCAGCTCAAGAGCAAGGTCTTTTATCGATAACTTCTTTGAATGACTGTGATGGTAAGATCGTTTGCTCCGTGGTTTTACCGAGGAATTTCCAAGGCCGTTGTCCTGCAGATTCATTAAAGGTATTATAAGAAGAGAGTTGAAGAAAGTAAAGGCGAAATGTAAAAAGCTATAGCGATATATAAGAGTACAGGAACAATACAGGAGTGTAGAGGGTATATGTAAAAGGCACGGGGATATATGGGATTGCAAAGACGATACAAGGGAGTAGATGGGATATGTAGAAGGGTACGGGGATATATGGGAGTACAAAGACGATACAAGGGAGTAGAGGGTATGTGTAGAAGGGCACGGGGATATATGGGATTGCAAAGACGATACAAGGGAGTAGATGGGATATGTAGAAGGGTAAGGGGATATATGGGAGTACAAAGACGATACAAGGGAGTAGAGGGTATATGTAAAAGGGCACGGGGATATATGGGATTGCAAAGACGATACAAGGGAGTAGATGGGATATGTAGAAGGGTACGGGGATATATGGGAGTACAAAGACGATACAAGGGAGTAGAGGGTATGTGTAGAAGGGTACGGGGATATATGGGATTGCAAAGACGATTGAGGGAGTAGAGGGTAGATATAGAAGGGCACGGGGATATTTGGGAGTGCGAAGACGATACAGGTACGGGGATAAATGGGATTACAAAGACGATACAAGGGAGTAGATAACTTTTATGAGAGTACAAGGCGATTATAGATGAGAAGTTTGTATGAAGAGGGTATGGGAATACACGGGAGTAATGGGCACGGTTCCTCGAAGGATGATTAAGTTCAACAAAAGGCGAACACAAATTTTATGCGTACGCCTCTTGCCCACGAAAAGCACAAAATACATTGTTGAGCCTTTACTTTGAGATCCATGATAATCGAATTTAATATTATATGGGAAGTTCAAAACAATTGCGTAGTAAAATTTTGATCCCTTTGGAGCGCATCGTCCTCTCGGGAACCGGGCGCCAGTAGGAAGAACAATAGAACAAGGATATATAGATAAGATAACGGGGAACATGGACTACATGGAGGATACAGGGAAGTATCGGAGGTGAAACATAGAGAAACCTGTTGCTAAGGAGGGACAGGAGGGTACGGGCGATATGGGGTATAAAAGGGGGACAACAGGACAATTGCATGATTCGCATCATTTGTTAACTTAACGGTTAGCAGAGTTCTTCACTTTTTAATTGTTGTTTTCTTTTAAAATTGGCTATTAATACTTCCAACACTCAATGGGCTTGACAAATTTAAATAGAGAGGCAAAAAACGAAATGGACTCTTGAAGTTGTTGTCAAATGATGTAATCGTGAAAATGGCCTATTAGGAAACTGACAAGGGGATTTTAACATCACAACTCACGGTAAACTTACCAGTAAAAGGCCAAGCAAGAGGAAAAACAGTGGACACGATCGAAACATCTTCGGAGAAAATATAATCAGTCTGAAACTGCAAAGGAAAAATAATTAGTTTCGAAGGACAATGTGAAGTCTAAGACTTAAGGCTTATTTTCTTACCAATTTCTTCCAAAGCTTCTCTTCCCTATCAGGGTGTATCAGCAGTGTTTCTTGATCCCTCTCTTGAGGCGCACTTGCCAAGTGAATGATTTTCTTGGCTGAGTTAACCTTTTTATTGCCTTCAGTTGTTTATTTTGGCCACTACCATTCATTGTTTAAAAATGCGAACTTTTTCTTGTTCTAGTTTAGACTGATTAACACTTCCGCTTTGTATACTTGTAAAATTAACGTTTGCTCGTCTCATTAAGGTCAATGTTAACTTCATTTCAAAAACAGCAAATAAAACATGTTAGGTAGACGTTCCGAATGAGGAGTATTCTGCTTTTGCATATTCATGTTGTGTTCAAAAATAAAACAGCTACAAATATAATAAATGTTGCATACGCGCTTCTAGTCACTGAATTAAAAATAATAATTATTTTTGTTTTATAAAAAATTGAAGGTATTAAAGTAAGTTATAAAGGGCCAGAAATTTAACTGTCAAGTGTTATCGAGATATGATACTCAAGTACAAGCGTCCAGACTGAAAAAGTCACAGAATTGAGCCTTCTTCAAGATCGTTTTAAACACTGCTGATCAGGTTTATATAATGGCCGAATCTTTACTAGAGACGGATAAATCATCTCTAGTAGAAATTCGGCCTGCCCAATGTCGCATTCGCAAGATCATCTCGATCTCTTACCCGGTACAGCGGTAAACTGAGATCTTTGCTTACCGAAACTTAGTCCACCAAAGCTGCTTTTCACGGAATTCTTTTCTGACAGGGCCTGAAAGGCTCAGTGGTACGGGGAGAATTTATCGCCCTATTTGTCGCGCGACATGAGCTTTGTTTTGGTCTCAACTGCAAATTCCCACATTTTTCAAGGAGATAGCAGCGCGATTTGCCTTAGGCATGTCGCAGTGAAACGATTTTGATCGAAAAATGCAGTAATGTGCGTACAGTTTATCCCTATCCTGCTTTCATACCCGTGGTAAATATTGTCGTTTGCAAACTTCGGGCATGGTAACCTGAGATCAGCCCCAATTTTAGTGGCTAAAATCCATATATTCTCTCTTACGCGTTCGCGTTTCGTCTTTCTCGCCAGAAATTTATTTGTCAAGCGAAACGAAAATAGAGCTTGATCTCAAGTTAGGGGCATGGCGACATCACAACCTCAAATTAAAAAATAGGCCTTCTGTAAAAAGGCTGAGTCAAATTTGTTTGGTATTATTACCTTTTTCAATTAACTTAAAGTTCGGATTCTAAGCGCCATGATTAGTCTGATTAGTGCACATTTGCGCCTTTCGAACTTATTTCTATGTTTCAAAAAATGATATTTTTTAAAGAAAAAAGATATTGCTTTTGAAATTGCGAGTGAATTGCCATGTTAAATCAACGTTAGTTTTACATAAGGTAAAAAAAAAAACGCTGCTCGACAAAATTGCCCATGTAAGCCGCACGATAAGGTAACCGACGCACATGACTTAGTAAAATTATAATTTTCTTTTGTGCACTGAGGTCAGTTAGAAAAATGGAAATACAGAGGAATGCTGGGGCGTTTTGGAACTTCATAAGGAAATCAGATTAAATTGGTCCAAAATATTGGGAGTTTCTACAAACTGGGACTTTAAGTGCCTGACTTGAGAATAGATTCGTCAGTTTATCGGGAAAGTTATTCGAATTATCGTGAAGTCCGAGAACCTTATATTTTGAGTGACCAAATAAATAAAACTAGATCGAGAAAGTTTTTGCTAAGAAAAATTTTTTTTTCGGAAATTTGCCCAACATATGAAACAAAAAGGCTAACGGCACAGGCAACATACATACCTGATACACAAAGCACTCCAATGTTTTGAGCAGCTTGCGAGCTAACATCTTCGGGCACAATACATAAAAATACATTAAATACATTAAAAGAAAAAACTGTGTCTACTCATAAAAAAAACTAATATTCACAAAAACTGCAAGAAACTTGAAGAACAACCGATTCTGATAGTTAGTCTAGATTGGCAAGATATCTATTAGCCTATAATCTGTTATAAAACACTGCAAGACGGGACAATCTCTTTCGAACACTGATTAACCGTCAATAAAAATTTGTTTGTTAAGTTGTTCCATATAAACCGAAAATAATTGACTCAAAAGCTTTTGGGAAACTTATTAAGCTTCACACACTGCAATAAATCCGTTGATTTTGTTCGTTAATGTAAATACTAAAATGTTGTCAATAGCCTCTCGCAGCATCGAAGATCGGTTAGCCTTCTAGGAAAAACCTGCACCGTCATATACTTTACATGCCGTTTCCAAATATGCTGTTTCATGACATGGTCTAAAGAGAAAAACATGTCTTACAATCCGAAAAAATGTAAAGCCGGAACTTATCTTTAGAAGTACTGAAGGCAACATTAATTCTCAATATAACCCTGTATTTGACATTCCTCAATGGAGTAGTCTTGTTCTGCTGGGGTTACGATCCAGAGTTATTGCAAGTTTCGGGCTCATGTTAATCTTAAATTAATTAACGCAAACAAATGTCTTCATGTTCTAAGGACCCTTAGAAAAGAGCAATATTCACCAGCTGAAATAGATCATTTGTTTACTTTCTTGGTTTTGCCTAATTTTGGCTATGGCTTACCCGTATACGGAACGTCTCAACCTGATCTCAATATATAGAACTGTTTAGATGTCATTAGAGCCGTTTTATTTCTCACCCCGTTTTGATTAAGGATTTATTAAAGAAGCAAGACTGTAAAATTTTTAAGAAAGTAACCTCTAATAAATACTATCATCCGCTAGCTCCATATATTCTTCAAAGAACGTCGGTTCTTATAATCTCCCTAAAAAACAATGTGCCAGTCCTAAAATGAACTGTGCGTTTCATGTCTGCCTTTGTAAATAGATTAATTATTTGAACACAACTTCAGTACAGAAATTTAGGATTCTATGATTAGTTTATTTATTTTATTGTGTATTACGGTATTGATGACAGATGTAACATACGATATGTATTTTTCTCTTGTGCGATTCAAAGACCTTCGTTTATAATAACTATACAGCATGATCCGGCACATAGTTATGAGGCTCAGTCTTTTCTTAAGTTTCTAACAAACGAACAACGCATTTTTAAGACTCAGAATCAACGAGCGATTGGAGACGAATAGAGAACTCGTTGAATGCATAATGCAAAAAATTTGAACAGTAAATTAATAGTGTGGTAGCGACCTAGCACCACAAATGACCATATGAAAATCTTGATAAGAAAATCTCCTTTGCTTTCAATATCAGAGAGGGTCGAAAGGCGTTAGCGAAACGCACTTATTCGAGCAAACGCGGATGACCACGGTGAAGTGGAGAGGGCTACTATACTACCGGGTTCTATGGGCTTAACTATTAGCCACCAACATTAAATTTATTTAATGATTATTTTCGCTCAGAGGGTTGAGTTTGCTACTTTAATGTTGTCTAAAAAAGTAACACTTCAATTGAAAATATCATTAAAAGAAACAGACTAAAATGTCAAGCTATATGCCAGTTTCTGTAGTTTTTTTTTCTTATTTGCGTTTTCGAATATTAATCTGATAGACAAGTTGTTTTGAACACTTATA